AGCCCGTCCAATTTAGAGCTAAATCGTGGCTACATATAGACCATGTCATGCAATGACACCTATATCTTTGTAGATATTATTGACACTGCGAACATGATGGGATAAACCATCTCATGAGCTGTCTGGCCAAACACTACAGTGATTCAAGTTTGACTATAAGTGGGCTACAGATAGCCGCTCGGACTACGAGCTAAATCGTGGCTATGCTCAGGCTACGTATTGAACATGTCAAAGAAATGAAACCAAACACCTTGTAAACGCTGTTACTTTGCTTACATGATGGAATATCATACATCTCAAGTTATTTTGCCAAAAAACGACATGAAACCAAATTCAAGGTTATTTGGGCTAGAAGTGGGTTACACATAGCCGGACTATATCGGGTCTATACTTAACCGAGACGTTGAAATGATGGCTATTGCTTGCTGGATAGCTATGATACTGTTTTTGAAATGAAATCTCTGCATAGCTAATGGTTAGAGAGTCTGACTCATAACCCAAAGGTTGTGGGTTCGAGTCTCGTACCGGCAGGGATTGTAGGTGGGGGGAGTGAATGTACAGCGCTCTCTTCCACCTTCAATACCACGACTGAGGTGCCTTTGAGCAAGGCACCGAACCCCCAACTGCTCCCCGGGCGCCGCAGCATAAATGGCTGCCCACTGCTCCGGGTGTGTGTTCACGGTGTGTGTGTGTTCACTGCTGTGTGTGTGCACTTTGGATGGGTAAATGCAGAGCACTAATTCTGAGTATGGGTCACCATACTTGGCCACATGTCACTTCTTCACTGGCATCTAACAATGCCTTAGAAAAACAGGTAATCTTAAAAAATAAAGCACATACACAAACCCAAATAGGAAATAAAAGAGTTATGAAATAAGCATGTGTCCTAAACTCCTGAAACATTGCTGTCTCACATTACAGAGCAGTCACTGCAATCTATGAAAGAAGGCAATTACATCTGTATGCGTGTGAAAATATTCAGATGCAACTGAATATCACACTTTCTAATACTCCCCCTTTGTAATCTTTAACATTTTCTTAAGTAACTGTACTTTAATTACACATTGTGTTCTCAGTAACTGTAACAGACTAAAATTAATTTTGTAATTAAATGACGCAATTTAGTTACTTCCCAACAATGGTAACCATGTTTTTTTTGTATAATCAGTTTTACTACAAATACCATGCTTCAACTATGTTTAGTGTGGCAAAACCATGGTTAATTTGTGGTTACCATGGTTTTTTTTGTACTAAAGCCATGGTTAATTTTCATAATATCATAAAATAATATCCAGATATCAATGAACTATTATTATTTGACTGTAGTAACTGTGCTATAGAGCACAACAGTGAGGAAAGGTTTGTCCAAAGACACTCATATTTAATCATAGCCTAATGTACTTTAAAGACAGTAATAATGTACGATGTGATAATACACGTTTCTGTATGCGTCACAGGTCTGATTTCAGCTCATTTCTTAATATAAATATACATTTTTAAATGGTACTTGCCAAAGTGAAGGACACAACCCATAAACACAAGGATGATCAGCACAGAATCCCATGATGCTTTGCAAATAACACAATCAGCTGTCTTCAGTTCTCAAACTATTTTGCAGCAAACTGAAAACAGTAATATCATAAGAGTTCGATAACTTTCATTTTTCTAATCGCATATCTGATCGGTTTCAGGTTTTTCAGCTCTTCAAGGAGGATTCTCTTCTAAAATGCTTCTTAAAATGAAAAAGCTCAGCTCGTCACGTATTACAGCATGAATGTGAAGAGCTCAGATGCAAAAGCCTCTAAGTGCCACCTGAAATCTGTTCTCTTTTGCCTGATAGAAATGCTCACTTTAGAAGAAAACTGGCACTTAGAGGCGTTTGCTTCTGAACTCTTCATATTCACTTCCACGTGTGGGATTTGTTACTCTTCTCTTTTCTCCAGAATCGGCATGGTTTCACATCTGCATGACAGATACGGGCTATGAACACATCCACACTGGTTATGTATGGAATGCCAATCCTGACATAATTAGAACTAAATAAACGTACAAAGAAATGTAAAAAAGCTAATATAAATAAATAAATATATATTTGGCTGTAGATCTAAAGGCTAATTTTCTTAACTTTTATTAGACTGCAGATCGGAAAAAAAACCCTTGCTATGTGTGCTGCGTTAAGCTAACTGAGTCTTGTCATAGCACTTGCATATCATTGCTCTTTTGTTGGTTCTGATGGCTTCAGTTGTCCTCATGTGTAAGTCTCTTTGGATAAAAGCGTCTGCTAAACGACTAAATGTAAATGTAAGAGCCACGGGTATTCATTTTATTGCCTTTTTTTATTCTCAAAGATGGGTAGCTGCTGACTTGCATTTTATGAATCACCAAGGAGAAGGTTTCAGCTAAAAATCTTCTTTACTAGGAGTCAGCTGCATCTTGGATGGCCTGAGAGCGAGTTTATTAGCAGCAAGTGTTCATCTTTGGGTGAACTATGCCTTTAACTGGATCCGAACGATAAGCTCTGTGCTGTGAGAGGCTAAACTCCACCTGATCTCTGTGACGGTGGCTGTGTACACGGCTCCGAACTCCAGCTGCTGCTCCTGCTGCAGAACAGAAGACAAGCGTCAGAGTCTGACACGGGACATCATCAGAGCAGCTGATCATCACACTCACATCATCTCTGCAGACGGCTCGGATCAACTCCTGCGCTTCACTCATGGCGCCGGGCGTCGGAGCAAACACAGAGAACGTCTCCTCATCCACCTGAGAGATGGTCACACCTGCCAGAGAGCAAGAGCAGAGCTTCATCTCACACACACGCACACATATATGCACACACATACATACACGCACACTCACACACCTGTCTGAGCCTGCAGTCTGCGCAGATTGAATCCTCCCGGACCCACAAACAGAGCTCGTCTAGATAGAGGCACTTTGACGTTCTCTGTGGAAACGAGCTCATGTCAGGATCAGAAAAATAAAACAGCAGCAGAAACCACACGAGCAGGAACTCATCATACCAACGAGAGGGCCGTTCTCCTTCCTGGAGCTCCTGGGTTTGGAGATGACCTTGTTCATGATGCCTAAGATCTCCCGTTTGGCCACTGAAAGGAAACGCAGCAAACGTCACGTCACACACTCACGGTGTAGGTCACGCGATGCTCGCTGAGTGAAGAGTACCTGTGGCCTGCTGTATGGCCTCCATCACGATCTTCAGAGGAAGCCCCGGGATCTTAATGTCCGCCTGTGGAGACAGACATTAGTGATCACTAGGGATGTAAGTTAACCATATCAAAATATCACCATACAATAATATCACGATATGAAGTCCACCATAGGATATTTATTGCAAAAGTAAAAAAAAAATAATAATAGATCTACTACTTGTCGGTTCACCAAATAAATGTTGCTCCTTTCTGTCCTGACAATGTTAACATTGCTGGGATCTTGGTTTGACCTTCTACTATCATTAAAATCCTGGGTATAACCTTTGACTCCTCTCTCTCCTTCCTACCTCACATTTCTCCTCTCACTAAATCTGCCTCCTTTCACCTCCGTAATATCGCTCGCTTACGTCCCTTCTTAAATATCAGTGATGCTGAGACACTGGTTCATGCCGAACTTTGTTCTCTGCCCCCACACTCTGCAATTCTATTCCCAAACACATTTGTGATCTTTCTTCATTACAAGATTTCAAAACCCGCCCTAAAACACATATTGTCCTCTCTTGTCTGCTGTCATGTTTATCTGTTTTGATATTGTAAAGCGACCTTGGGTTTGCAGAAAGGTGCTATATAAAATAAACGTATTATTATTAAAGCACACTACTGTAAGGCTGTAATTAAATGAGGTAATTAATTGGCCGGTTCAATCAAACCGCACAGGGCAGCAGTAGGACAGTACTGCGGTCATGAGACGATACCTGCATCCATGAGCGCTAAACTGCCGCCACACACCGAGGCCATGGAGGACGAGCCTGTGGACACACAGAGCAGAGACAGAGCATGAGCTCAGGGGTCATCCTCCTCAGACGCTGAGAGCGGCGAGAGACGCACCGTTGGACTCCAGCACCTCAGACGTGACGCGGATGGTGAAGGGGAAATCTGGAGGAACGACGGGCCTCAGTGCCTTCTCCGCCAGCGCTCCTGAACACACACACACACACACACACACACCGCTGAGACTCGGAGGGGAAGGAGACGAGCGTCTTACAGAGGAAGCACACTCACCGTGACCCAGCTCCCGCCGGTTCGCTCCTCCCATCTTCCCGATCTCATTGGTGGCATACGGAGGAAACTAAAGAGACGCTCAGTGAGTGAAGGTGAACTGTACAGCCTGAGCTAAACATGCAGAGTAAAGCGTCACTCACTTCATAGTGCAGCATGAAGTTCTTGTCTTTGACTCCACTAGAAGAAAACGAATGTCACATCAGTCAAACCTTCACTAGTCAACATTTACAGCTCACAGCTCAGATGAACTGACCAGTGAAATGAGAGGAAAGCCTTTGCTGGAACAGGACGAAGTGTGTGTTTATCTTCAGCATCTCCTCGTAGACCGACGGCGACGCTTCATCACAGCCATCATGTGATGTCATTGCCGTAATGTTAATGACATTAACATCAATCCGCAAATAAATCACGGTGTTGTCAAGATTGTAGAAAAGCCAGGGAATATCAGAGCGTGTTACCTACATGGCTGGACTTACCATTGGGCTTTACATTTCTTTACAGAGGATGATTCTATATTATATTAATGTTCCATTAGATTATGCGATCTGAAGAGCTCTCTTCGTCTCCCTGACATCACACACAGTGGGGCAGAAATGTCACCAAAATGATTTAAAAAAATAAAAATGGAATGAGTTTCTGTTTTTATGACATACGCCTATGATATAGGAGTTCAAGAGCATCACACAAACAAGAGTCCCGTTTTTCTATCGCAAATGTACAATAAACTATATGTTACTGAGTAACTTCCAGACACAAAACAGACCAGTTGCTTAGCACAGAGTGCTGACTGATTCTATCACTGCAGGCGTCTGCCAAGCTCAATGAATTAGCATTTTAAACGAATCGGTTGATTTAAGGATTCAACTCACTCGTTAAGACAGTCACTTGCTGCCACCTACTGCTGGCTGTAGTTACATATTCTAAAAAAGTAGCTTGTTTCATTTTTGAAGTCTACATTAAAATGCTATGTTTAAATTGAACACAATCCATCGATGGATTTTGTTGATAGTGATTTCATTTGATTGTTAATAGCTAACGTGTCTTTTTATTCGGATTGAATTGATTGATTAAATTTAAGAACCTGACATAAGTATATGACAGTACATTTTTATGATACTACTACTACATCTCTGGCTTTATTTCAGGGTTTTAATCTGAGAGAACACATCTTGTTTATCGTATTATAATGACTATTTAATATTACATATAAACTTTGTTTGGGATAGACATGTTGCATATTAATTGTACTGTATATGTAGCCTACTACATAACCTCAAAACATATTTTAATGCTTGTGTATTTTGTGTTACTCCATAATGATGCTGTTCTAGTTGAAGGCATTGAAATGTATAGGTATGGGGCCCAAACATAACCAATGAACTAAACATGAACTAAACAGCAAATGATGGAGCAAGTTATTTCATGCTGCTGAGGGATTATGAAAACAGTTTTGTCTTGATCACATATCTTAGAATAACATGCACTGATGATTGGTTCACAGTGAGAGCAGGAACATGCTTTGAATGAGTGATTTTTCATTGCTCAGAGTAAATGATGATTGAGTGTGTTACTGACCTGAGCGCGGTGGTTATCGCGTCTGATTTCATACTGGACTCCAGAGAGTCAAACGTGACGGAGCACAGCACCTGCACACACATTCACAGCAGACAACGCTGGACAAATCAGATGAAAACTGCCATCTAAGTCTGATGTGCTACAGAGACGGGGCCAGTGCTGACCTGTGTCTGACCCCTCTGGAAGAGAGCCGAGCCGTGGAGAGGCTTGAAGATGTCCACCTCGCAGGAAATGTTGCGCAGAGACGTCAGATCTCTGCCGTCACACCTGTCACATGACGCAGCACACGTGTGTGTTACTGTTGAGCAGATTCTTACACCGCTGCATCTGTCAGTGGATCTCTCTCTAATATATCTGCACATAGACGGATCCGCTGACAGACGCTCATTAGCGGGAAACAGACGTTTCTAAAGTTTCAGTACCGAATGGTGTCGCGGTCGGTATTTTGACAACACTAGAACACAAACATCAGAGCGTGAATTACCGCCTGTATTCACTGAGAATCAGATTCCTGAAGACCTCTCTGGAGACGCCGTTGAAGGCCTCCACCACCTCGAAGGACTCTGACTGCGGGAACCTCTCTAGAGACGGCACACAGCAGCGTTACACACAGAGCAAACACACGGTCATAACGGCTGATGAACGCCACGCACCTCTGATGTGCTCCTCCGCCTCCAGACGGATCTTATTGATCGCTTCATCTCGGGAGATCTGGGAAAACACGCACACTTAAAGAGCAGTTCATCTGCTCACCCTCAGATCATCCCAGATCAGGATGAGTTTGTTTCTTCATCAGTTCCAATGGATGCTCTGCAGTGAATGGGTGCCGTCAGAATGAGAGTACAATAATCCACAGCACTCCAGTCCATCAGTTAACATCTGGAGAAGACAAAAGCTGAAACACATCCAGCATTAAGATGTTTTTAACTCAAATACATTGAATCCATAATAACGCTTCCTCCAGTGAAAAAGCTCATCTGCTGTTGTCTCTCGCATCAGAATCCAGTCACATATATGTTTAGAGCTGTTTAAACACTGCTTGATCTGTGCAGATTTCTCTCCTGATTCACACCAGAACACTGACTCACTGGAGGAAGAGTTATTATGGATTATGGACTCTATGTATTTTAGTTAAAAACGTCTTAATGCTGGATTAGTTTCAGCTTTAGTCTTCTCCAGATGTTAACTGATGGACTGGAGTGCTGTGGATTATTGTGATGTCTTTATCAGCTGTTTGGACTCTCATTCTGACGGCACCCATTCACTGCAGAGCATCCATTGCTGAGACTTATCCTGATCTGGGACGGCCTGAGGGTGAGCACATCTTCAGTTTTGGGTGAACTGTTCCTGTAACACCGCATGAGATCAGACACAGGGTGCCGGTGTGACGCTGACACGCACCTTGTCGTGTGTGAAGTCCGTAAATACAGCGTAGATCTTATCAGACGCCAACCTGAGGAGAAAACAGCCAATCACACTCTCACACAGAGAAGTCACGAGGAACAATCAGCGCATCAGAAGAATGCATTTAGACAGCGCAGGATTATGAGTCACAAGCCCAGCTCATATTGCACTATATTTGGCACAGAATACTGAAGCTCAGTTAACGTCCCATGCTGTATGTCTTGTTGTGGTGTGTGTGGAGTCTCACTGGCGTGTGTAGTCCAGCATCTCGGCGGAGGCGGTGAAGAGTCTGGCAGGAGAGCGTTTGCTGATCTTCATGTCTCTGCTCATCTGCTGGATGGCCAGGATGATCTGCTGCGTGTGCTTGACGCCGAGCTTCACTGCGTGACTGAAGTCCTGCTGCAGGACGTTCTCCGCCGCCGCCTCCATCATCACTACATACACATACACACACACTGGCGTGTGTAGTCCAGCATCTCGGCGGAGGCGGTGAAGAGTCTGGCAGGAGAGCGTTTGCTGATCTTCATGTCTCTGCTCATCTGCTGGATGGCCAGGATGATCTGCTGCGTGTGCTTGACGCCGAGCTTCACTGCGTGACTGAAGTCCTGCTTTCTCCGCCTCTCCGCCGCCGCCTCCATCATCACTACATACACATACACACACACACACACACACACACACACACACACACACACACACAGTGAGTCAGAGCAGGGCATGATGGGTAACGCAGAGCGCTGCTGAGCTCACACTCACCCACTTGGCTGGACGGGGCTCCGGCGATCACCAGGTTGAGTTTGCTGCCGCTCATCTCTGAGCGTGTGGGGTTGATGAGGAACTCTCCGTCCACGAGGCCCACACGCACCGCTCCTGAAACACAGCCAGCGTCACACACACACATACACACTCGCTGCATTCGTGAGAGTGTGACGCTGCACTCACCAATGGGTCCGTTCCAGGGGATATCAGACAGAGCCAGAGCCGCAGACGCTGAGAAACGAGCGACAGGATCAGACACTCACACACACTCTCTCTTACACACGCACACACACACTCTCACTCTCTCTCTCACACACACACACACACACACACCTGTGACAGAGACACTCATACCTCCATTGATGGCCAGAATGTCAGGGTCGTTGACTCCATCTGCGGCTAAGATGTTACACAGCACCTTCAGCACAAACACACGAGCGTTAGTCCAGAGACACGAGTGATTCACACTAGCTGGGTTTCCATCCAAAGATGCGAATTAAACTTGTGCACAAAACTGGAATATCACTTAAAACATAGCACCGTTTCCATCCCATGAGTCCAAGAGAACAAAAGCATAACTTCCTGATAAACTGTCACTAAATATCACTAAGAAAACTAGGAGAAGCCACTGAATATAATAATCTTCATGTATGATAAATGACTTGCGGCTCAGAGCGAGCAGACGAAACACAATGCTTTCGGAGGCGGATGCTGCAAGCAGCAGCACCAGTTCGGTTTTCTTTTGGAATCCATGTTGGCTGATTATATCATAAACTCTAGGCTGTATAGAGGCAGCTCAGTTAACAGCACACCGGTTTACAATCTGTGATTACGACATGGTGGAAAACGAGTTTATCTTTCATTTCCAATGTGAATATCATGTGTTCTCTTAAATTCTTTATTGTCAGATGTGTGCTGAACGTAAACTCCTCTTATAGGAACGTCAGCGTTCGAAGTGAATTTATCGGAGAATATTCTTAAATAAGGAAATCTATTCAGTGATTGGTCCATGCCTGTCGTCATCCAAAATCCTGTTTGTGGCACAGCAGTGAACCCTCTCTAAGACGGACACTTCAGATTTAGTCTTACGCTTACTTCGCTTCCATTACGACTGAGATGCTTGATACTTTTTTACTCTTAAGGCCACTCCTAGCAGTGTTCTTGTGAGTAACTCTCAGAGGCTTGATAAACACGGGCCCAGATATTAACAAGCCGTGACTCGAGAGACGATGACGAGAGATCACATGAGCGTCACACCTGTGTGTCGTAGAAGTATCCGGCGGGAAACAGCGGCCTGATGGAGCGATCTGCACAAACACACACACACACACAGCATCAGACAGGAGCGCATTACTAACATACGAGAGAGAGTGTGTGTGTGTGTGTGTGTGAGAGAGAGAGTGTCAGTGTGTGTGTGTGTGTGAGAGAGAGAGAGAGAGAGAGTGTGTATGTGTGAGAGTGTGTGTGTATGTGTGTGAGAGTGAGTGTGTGTATGTGTGAGAGTGAGTGTGTGTGTGTGTGTGTGTCGCACCGATCAGACGGCTGGTCAGGATCTCGGAGTCTGTGGTGCCCAGTTCTCGTCTCAGGTAGTTGGTGGGGATTCGTCCTGCAGCCGCTGCTTTCTGCCTGTAATCCACCTGAACACAGAGAGATCACATGACTGCTGCCCCACACTCTCACTGACAGCTTTAATAAAACACATACGTGTGTAGAGCTGTCACTCACCACGAGCGGCATGAACTGAGCGGCAGCCGGTTTGGTCTTACTGACCGCGGTCACCATCACTGACGTCTCACCCAGCTACAACACACGCATGATCAGAAGTGAACACACTTCACTGGATCCAGCAGACTCACCACGTGTGCATGCATGCACGCATATACATATACACACACACACACACACACGCTCTCTCTCACACTCACACACACACACTCACTCTCTCTCTCACACACACACACACACACACACACACACACACACACACACACACACACCTTGATCACCGCACAGCCGTCAGCGAAGCGGGCCAGTTTTCCAGTGGAGATCTCCATCCTCCTGCACACAGTAACACCACCACACAGTGAGGCAACACCACAGTAATACCATGGTACTGATGGATTGGCATACGCCGGCGGCGCTGTAAGGTACTTGTATAGTTATCTTCAGTGTGTGTTGTTCAGCGCTCATCAGCACTGACTGACTGATGAAGAGTCTCTCACCTGTCCGCTAAACTCACTGCCACTGTCCGCTCATGAAAGCCTCTGACAGCCGCGAGCCGAGCCTTCATCCCCCACCTCATCCTCATCATCATCATCATCTCTCTCATCCTAACACTCAGCGAACATCACAACACACTCACACTCACACACACATGCAGCGGGCACTGGGCCGCCATGACAGTACGAGTGCGCAGCTACAGCAAGAGCACGTTACGGCGCTGCGTTTCAAAATAAAAGTCGCCACTTTTATCGTTTAATACGGAACACCACTCACGTTACACTACCAAGAAAATATTACAATTATATAAAATATAAAACATAATATTTTAATTTCATATAAATACAATATTTATTAAAATCAATTCAGTTCAAAAGATCATCAATTGTTTTATTTTATTATCAATATTTTATTGCAAATCACAGGCCTGTGTCACTTAGGCAGTTTAAGTGGCTACCTAGGTTTTAGTTCCCTTTCGAACCTCTCTGCCGTAGAGGAACACATATGGGGGAACACTCCTGTTTTACTCTGCACTGAAACCTGGGGCCTGTACCATGATGGTAGATGAACACAGATTCAGAGTTACAGCATTAGTTTCGAGTTGACAAAACCAAACCACTCCAGTCCGGCTTTATTGGTACCATGATGCTGTTCATCAACTTTCTTTGTCAACTCCTGAGCATGAATGTGTGACATCAGTGGCAAACAGCCAATCACAAGCCTTGCAGCACAGAGCATGTGTGAGTCACTTCTCTGCAAGACAGCCAGAGAGATTCAAAACTCTTTTCTTAAAGGTGCAGTAGGAGATCTTGGAAAATGCTAACTTTATCCTGATAGCACTGAAAGCGAACGTCCCACCCTCCCTGCAATCACGTCCAAAACCACACCCCCTGAACGCATTTACACTCACAGATCAGAGACAACATTACTACCGCTCAGTGAGGAGGGAGCGATGAACACTGTGTAGGGATCATATCGATCTGAACACAGTTCATGCACGTAGCTCACTTCTAACGAGCTGGCGCGAGGACTAGATTAACCGCTGGGCTACATCATGCGTCATTCACCGGTGAGAAAACTTTAAAAGTACTACAATAGCAGGAAGAAAGATGGGGTTGTTGATGTTTGCCTGCCATCCTCGCTCTGTCTGCACAGCGTGCGTGAACGCGCTGATGACGATCCTGTCTGCGCGAACCCGGTGCGCAGAGGTATGCAGATACATACGTTGACAGGCAGATAGGAAAGCATATTAAAACGCTCGGACCGAGCATTTTGATTGGACGAACATTTCTTGATCCTACGCCTTCCACAGAATATATAAATACAGATGAATACATTTAGACCACTTAACTTCATGCTTGCTATCGGGATGTGAAGAGCATAACAAAAACTGTTTCTGAAGACAATCACCTATTGCACCTTTAAAGGTTAAGAGCTCAAAGAATATGAGGAATATAAATGCATTTATACATTACTTGTCCATGAAAAAGGACAAATAAAATAAATGATCTTGCTCTGTTAGTGCAGTCACAAGTGAAACTTGTGAAGTTATATATAGCGATTTTTACATTTTTAAAGCGCTATCTATTGTTTCTACCACTTGATCTGTATTAATATTAATTTAAAAATAAAGGCTTTATAATAATTGTTACACTAAATTTGCTTGTGTGTAATGGATTAATGGTTATATAAATCATATTATATTTATATAAATCATATATACTGTAAATTGTTATCATTAAAGCCAGACAATTTTGTTGTATTTTTTTAAGGTACTTTAAAGTGACCTTTAATTTGTAGGAAGAGAAACTGGGGGAGTGACTTTTGTGTGTCAGACATGTGTCACTTTGCTCACGTCTGATTGGTCCAATTTCAGTTTGAGCAAATCAGACGTGAGCAAAGTGACACATGTCTGACACACAAAAGTCTGGCTTTAATGATAATTACTTATAATAAAGTTATTTTATATGATTTATATAATTGTATGATTTATATTATTATTAATCCATTACACACAAGCAATTTTAGTTTAACAGTTATTATAAATCATTTATTTTAAATGAATGTTAATGTATACAGATCAGATCATATGTAATATAAATAAGCTGTATAATCAATAGATAATGCTTTAAAATATCTACGTGACCTTACATGTTCGAGTCGCTTTCGCTGTATATAACAAGTTTCACTTGTGACTGCACTGATAAAGCAAGATCATTTCTTTTATTTGTCCTCTTTCATGAACAAGTTCTTTTTTCATTGTAAATGCATTTAAATTCATCATATTCTTCAATCTCTTAACCTTTAGCAAAACCTTTAACCAAGGCTCGTGATTGGCTGTTCGCCAGTGATGTCACACATTCATGTGCACGCGCTCCACAAAGTCAGGATCAGAGCCTGAGTTGACAAAGAAAGTTGATGAACAGCATCATGGTACCAATAAAGCCGGACTGGAGTGGTTTGGTTTTGTCAACTCGAAACTAATGCTGTAACTCTGAATCTGTTCATCTATCATCATGGTACAGGCCCCAGGTTACCCGTGGAGTGTAAGTTACTAAGGCAACGAACGCTGCTAAAAGCCAACTTTCATGGTACCTAAAACCCAGGATTGGTGCAAGCTAAACTGAAACTTACCTGGCTAGCCAGCTAATCTGGCTTCATGGTAAAATTGTTATCATTAAAGCCAGACAATTTTGTTGTATTTTTTTAAGGTACTTTAAAGTGACCTTTAATTTGTAGGAAGAGAAACTGGGGGAGTGACTTTTGTGTGTCAGACATGTGTCACTTTGCTCACGTCTGATTGGTCCAATTTCAGTTTGAGCAAATCAGACGTGAGCAAAGTGACACATGTCTGACACACAAAAGTCTGGCTTTAATGATAATTACTTATAATAAAGTTATTTTATATGATTTATATAATTGTATGATTTATATTATTATTAATCCATTACACACAAGCAATTTTAGTTTAACAGTTATTATAAATCATTTATTTTAAATGAATGTTAATGTATACAGATCAGATCATATGTAATATAAATAAGCTGTATAATCAATAGATAATGCTTTAAAATATCTACGTGACCTTACATGTTCGAGTCGCTTTCGCTGTATATAACAAGTTTCACTTGTGACTGCACTGATAAAGCAAGATCATTTCTTTTATTTGTCCTCTTTCATGAACAAGTACTTTTTTCATTGAAAATGCATTTAAATCCATCATATTCTTCAATCTCTTAACCTTTAGCAAAACCTTTAACCAAGGCTCGTGATTGGCTGTTCGCCAGTGATGTCACACATTCATGTGCACGTGCTCCACAAAGTCAGGATCAGAGCCTGAGTTGACAAAGAAAGTTGATGAACAGAATCATGGTACCAATAAAGCCGGATTGGAGTGGTTTGGTTTTGTCAACTCGAAACTAATGCTGTAACTCTGAATCTGTTCATCTACCATCATGGTACAGGCCCCAGGTTACCCGTGGAGTGTAAGTTACTAAGGCAACGAACGCCGCTAAAAGCCAACTTTCATGGTACCTAAAACCCAGGATTGGTGCAAGCTAAACTGAAACTTACCTGGCTAGCCAGCTAATCTGGCTTCATGGTACAGGCCCCAGATTTGTTCACGTTTGTGTACGTTTTGTTCAAAAGTGACCCATTTTGTTCACGTTTGTTCAGACTGTTGTTTGACTGCCGGCCACAAAGCAGTGACTCTCTCGCTGGATAGTAGATGCAATAGCCTTGGCTTATGAAACAGAGTAAAAAGGTATGTTAAATTATTGCATAAATGGGGACAGCGCCATCTATGTGGTGCATAATGTGATTTAGTCACAATAAAGATATTTCTTTATTGTGACTATATTTCAATGAATATTTTGGGACGTGTTTGGCGTCGAGTGTGTTGCTCAATATTGAGTTATAATGTGTTTATATTACGAGACCTGATTGTAATCAATTTGTTTGTTGTCTTGTGTTTTAAGTAGAAATGGTTTATTCTCTTACTGAATCAGTGAAATCCTACTTACACACTCTGTCTCCATTGTGCAGGTATGTTGTTAAATGTTTGATTCCAAATGAGTTGCTCAAGTTATCTGCTAGGTGGGGATGTTTCCCTTAACTGTGAGTTTAATTGTATTGCTCTGTATTTCATTGAGGATCTTCATTCATTGACTTGTGATTTATAATTAATTGAAAGTGTGTGTCATCTATATTCAAACTGTTAATATTTAAAAACGAAACTCTATACTATCACAAAGTAAAAAATAATTTGAGTGACAGAGTTAAAAAAGATAACTGTTTAAAATTAAACAGAGCAGAGTTAAAGAAGCATTGCTGTGGAAATGGTTTATTCTCTTACTGAATCAGTGAAATCCTATTTACACACACTGTCTCCATTGTGCAGAAAGCAGACCGCCCAGGCAAGACCGTCACACTTACGCTTCAGAAGGCTTACGATGCCCTATAGGTGTGAGGGCACACTCCACAAGGGGTATGGCCTCCTCCTGGGCTTGGTCCAGCGGGATCTCTATTGGTGAGGTTTTTGCGACCGCCGGCTGGTCCTCGCTGTCCAAATTTGCCAGATTTGACAACTTAGACGTCCCTGCCCTGCAGGCGTGGGTTCTTTCTGTTTTATTGCCATTCTTCCCTTCTGGGTGAAGCTGGTTATATTCGTGCTTCTCAGCTACTAGCTTGGGGTACAATGTGCTCATGTTCTTAGCGGCCCTTATCTTAGCATCCGAGAGTTTATTCTGTATCTGCTCATAGCGCGGCGTGATTGGATGCAACCATGCAACAGGTGAGACCGTTCGAAAGGGAACGCTCCGGTTACTGATGTAACCTCGGTTCCCTGAGATAAGAGAATGAGCGTTGCATCATTTGCATAATTTGAGTGACAGAGTTAAAAAAGATAACTGTTTAAAATTAAACAGAGCAGAGTTAAAGAAGCATTGCTGTGGAAATGGTTTATTCTCTTACTGAATCAGTGAAATCCTATTTACACACACTGTCTCCATTGTGCAGAAAGCAGACCGCCCAGGCAAGACCGTCACACTTACGCTTCAGAAGGCTTACGATGCCCTATAGGTGTGAGGGCACACTCCACAAGGGGTATGGCCTCCTCCTGGGCTTGGTCCAGCGGGATCTCTATTGGTGAGGTTTTTGCGACCGCCGGCTGGTCCTCGCTGTCCAAATTTGCCAGATTTGACAACTTAGACGTCCCTGCCCTGCAGGCGTGGGTTCTTTCTGTTTTATTGCCATTCTTCCCTTCTGGGTGAAGCTGGTTATATTCGTGCTTCTCAGCTACAAGCTTGGGGTACAATGTGCTCATGTTCTTAGCGGCCCTTATCTTAGCATCCGAGAGTTTATTCTGTATCTGCTCATAGCGCGGCGTGATTGGATGCAACCATGGAACAGGTGAGACCGTTCGAAAGGGAACGCTCCGGTTACTGATGTAACCTCGGTTCCCTGAGATAAGAGAATGAGCGTTGCATCATTTGCCGCACTATAAGCTGCACATGAATTGATGACTGTCGCTTCAGTCGAATGATCTGATGAATGGCGCTCCGAACCAACTTATATAGTGGTCAGCTCCGCCCTTTCTGGCACACTATCATTGGTTTGTGCAGCTACACAAACGTGAACAAATCAGGCTTTAGTACAGAGTAAAATAGGAGTTTTCCATGCAACGCTTGTTCCCTTATCTCAGGGAACCGAGGTTACATCAGTAACCAGAGCGTTTAGTTTGAGAGATCTGGTGTATTGTCTCAAGACTGGTTCTGGCATGTTAATGTCAATGTAACGACAACAGACAGTCTGGGTAATTTATGGAAAAATAAAGAATTATGTTTATTTCTACTCTACAATGTGTAGTAGGCTATGCATAGATTATAATAGTGAATAAACAGTGGTGTATAAGTGTGTATTTTGACCACATTTTCCATGTAAAGCAGAATGAGTTTAAAACTACTGTAGCAATAAATAAATAACAAACACAAGACGCAAGTGTTAACAGGTCAGAGGTTTATGCTATTTCATAAGTTAGTATCACATTTCAATGGAAATGCAGAGAACAGGAGAAGAAGGGCAGTTTTTTAAGCATATTTCATGAGTTAAATATACTGTATTCTGAAGCACAGTATAAAAAAACTTAAATGAGATATTTGAAAAAGAACTCTGGTCAAAATTAGAGAACACTTACAGATACCTCCAAGTTATTAGTGTTAATCTGGAACCTGGTGCTAATTTCCTTAATTATATGACCAACCTTATTTCACTGGCAGCATTCCTCTAATTTCCACTGAGATTGAAAGATTGCGGGACGCTCTAAGGTGACTGAAACCCTGTGACAGCAGGGAGTCCAGATGAAGGCCAATATCAGTCATAGCAAGAGAAGTTTGTCATTCCAAATCTGTGATTTCTAGAAAAATGCAGATTTACAATGTCACTATCTCATTCAAGTCCCCCAAAAAGGCTAGTCGTCCACAAAAGATCGCTGGAGAGTGCGGTGCTCCCAAATAAAGACTTCAGCGCTGAGCACAAAAGCCGCCTAGATCTTTCACATTAAATCTGTAGCTGCTTCCACTCTTGAACTGTTCTTGACTGAACAGGTTGAGGCGTAGGGAAATAGTTTAGATTCACTTCCTTGTTGCTGCCGCGTGTTTTGAGTTGAAGCTCCGTCAAGTTCATTCTTTATGGTCTATTTTTCAATCTTAAAATCAATTTTATATACCATAATTTTCGTTTCTATAACGTGTGAATATATTCCCCATTGTATTCTACAACAAAAACAATCAGAGTACCTTGTTATCACTAGTTTCATTTTGATTTGCCGAGGACAAGCTACAGGTAGTCCAAAATGCAGCGGCTAGAGTCCTTACCAGGTCAAGAAAATATGATCATATTACCCCAATTTTACAGTCTCTGCACTGGCTACCTGTTAAGTTCCGTATCAGTTACAAAATATTATTACTTGCCTATAAGGCCCTTAATGGGTTAGCTCCTGCATACCTAACTAGTCTTCTACCACGCTACAATCCATCACGCTCCCTAAGGTCGCAAAATTCTGGACTTTTGGTAGTACCTAGGATAGCAAAGTCCACTAAAGGAGGTAGAGCTTTTTCGCATTTGGCTCCCAAACTCTGGAATAGCCTTCCTGAACTTCCTTCGGGGTTCAGACACACTCTCTCTGTTTAAATCTAGATTAAAGACACATCTCTTTGGCCAAGCATTCAAATAATGCATCTCATAATCTTTTACTGCAGTCATAATCTTTTACTGCAGTTATATCTAATCAAATGCACATTATTATTCGTTAGTTTGGGTTAAACAAATCATTTTTGCTTGGTTGGAACAGCAGCTACGCTAATTATGTTTGTATTTGTTTCTCTGTCTTTTGCCACGGGATGTAACTAGGATTTACACAAGCTTCAGTCTGGATCCAGAACACCTGAGAAGAGATGATGCAACCCCTCAGAGGACCTCAGATGATGCCAACCCTGAAACAACATACAGAACTACCACATTTTGCTATAAGTTTGATTGCATCATATAATAATTGCTGTTCACCGTCTGTTTGATTACATGTCATTAATTAACTGCATGATTGCCATATGGACATCAACTTGAGATGATGAGCTACTACTAAATATAATGTAGAAACTTTAATGTTCTGTAAAGCTGCTTTTCAACAATTTGCATCGTGAAAAGTGCTATAAAAATAAACTCAAATTGAATTGAACTATCTCACCATTTGCCCCAAATTTTCATAGTCTTTTTCTTTCTTATTTTAAGCTCATATTTATTTGAGAAATGGATTCACAAATGTACTGTCTTTGAAATGATATTGAAGGGATCATTTCACCATAGTTCAAAGAATTTGTTAAAGTAGTGTTTTTTGTGTTATCTTTCTTTTGAACCAGATTTGAGTTCAGAGAAGTTGTGTTCATTAGTTTGTGTGAGATGCAAAACATTTCTAAACCAATGTTCCTAGTGTTTTATGTCGAGTTTTAGTTGACAGTAATTGTTAATATGGATGTATGTAACTGTTGGTATTTAAGCTATCTGGGTAATTTTTGGCAGATTTAACAAATTAATCATTATCAATTTAAGTCATTAGTTGATTTTAATTTATGGCTGCCAACATTACAGGAGTGGCGCCTGAACAGGGACCTGAAACATTGAAACTGAACATTTGAAAACTTAAAGATATTTCTTTGAACTTGACTTTGTTTCTTGAAGTAGTTTTTTAAATTTTTTTTTACTTTTGCGCTGTGAAACTGGACCTTTTGTGCTGTTTGGGGTTGGACACTGAACACTTTTGTGATGGTTTGAATTCTGGTTAACTGAGCTGTCCTGCTCCTGCAGTTCATCTAAAGGGAAGTGTGACTAATCAATATCACCCTTAGAACTGTGGATCCAATTTTGTTGGCAGAAAAATTGTTATGAATTTGTAAACCATTGTGGAAGTGTAACCAAACTGTAGTTTGTTATTTTCTGTTGCCCTATTTGGAAATGAGTAGTTATTTTTCCAAATTATATTTCACTGCTGGTCATATATTCTCTATATAACCATGTATGTCACAAATAAAAAATCTTGAATCTTGAATCTTATTTTAAAACACCTGGAAACATGTGACATGTCATTTTCAAGAAAGCGCAGCCAAATCACCCCACACCACTCCTCCTACACTTCCTCCTCATCCACACCCAACATCTGTGGTCAGGACTGATCCTCTGACACTAATCTTTCTGACATTTAAGGCTGCGTTTACACTGCAAGTCTTAATGCACAGATCCGATCTTTTGACCATATCCGATTTTTTGGCACGTCTGTTTACATTCACTTTAGACACGACTGGTATCCGATATCTGTGTTTACATTAATTCCCACCCAAAAGGATTGTCTGCAGTGATCGCTTTACTATGCACATGGTAGACCCTCGGGTTTTAAATGGCCATGCTTTCAAAATTATGTATATAATTCACGTCGAATGGCCATTATTATTTGCCAGCATGGACAACGGCTGTCATGGATGTTTTACAGCACAAAATCTGACTGAACGGATAAAGACCGGAAAATAACGGTAATTTTAACTTGTTAGACTATTTTATCTACAGCTCGTTAGAGGTAGAATTCTTTAGTGAAATAAGGTTGATATTTATTGAAATGAAGTCGAATTAAGGAGAGAGAGAGAGAGAGAGAGAGAGAGAGAGAGAGAACGAACTAACACATGCACCCACGTGCGAGCGAGCGATTGTGAAGCATTGCAAACAA